CGGAAGCGAGTGAACCCACCGACGCTTCTCGTCCGTCCCGGTAGCGCGTTTCCCATTCAAAATGCCTAGACTTCGCCGTGTGTCGAGATTTTCGATGCTAAACTTGAATGCCGACGCACCATGTATAAATTGGCTCGTGCCCCGGAGGTCCCGGCCCCCTCTGCCCCAAAAATTGTCCGGGATAGCATTTTCATACACACTAATGTTCGTCGGTGATGTAAATGGACCAATCTTACCCTTTTACATCAAGGAAAAAGCGGAGTGCCCTGTATGGTTCAAATGCCAAATTATTGTGACCAAAAAACATGATCTACGGGCTTATTACTACCATCTTGACAGCAAGGAAACAATACAGGATGCCTCTGCTCTCAATAATTGATAAAACTGAGTTGATTGGGGCAGTAATACCTGTGTGATTGGCTCGCGGCGCGACGCGGCCAAGTATGGACTCCACACAATGCCTCCCCCCGAAGAACTCGAACCAGGAATCACCTTATGGAATTTGGGTTGTGCTAAATTTATGAATCAAATCACGAACCGCGAGTCGCACAGACGACGTACCGGACTTGAACCGAGCAAAGTCAACCGTGGAACCCTTTTTTGGCGCGGCAGTACGGGAAGGGCAAGGAAGGGATTAGTTGTCGGGATACACCTTATCTACTTACTGAGGCTTAGGACATTACCACTGTCGATAAATATTGAATTAAGGTGTTGAGACGGGGAGAGCAGAAAGCTGAAGGACCCGGGGTGTTACCCAAGGCATTGAAGTTGCGATTAAGGCATACAAATCAACCTCGAGGAAAACATGGAGTGTCCATGGAGTGTCCTGTATGGTTCAATTGCAAATTATCGCGGCCAAAAACATGATCTGTGCGACTCGTTACCACTGTCCCAAGGGCCAAAATCAAGAAAACCAACAGAGTACCTTGGCACTCAATAATTGATTATGCTGTAAGGAATGGTCCGTTGTCTTCTAAGTCTGAGAGAGGATGATAAATGATGTACTCGTCGGAAATTTCTCTGCGATGAAAGAATGCCCGGAAAATTGAACTTCTAGGTCTGAGGATGATAAATGATGTACTCGTCGGAAATTTCTCCGCGATGAAAGAATGCCCGGAAAATCGAACATTTGAACACACAGTGCACATCTATAGACTCACCAGGACACATGTGCAAATTCCTGGTGGAATCGAATGACCTACAATTAGTAGTTCAAGTTGCAACCGCTAGAATATTCGGCCATGTGATATTCAGTCCTCCCAAGGATGTGGTTGACACTCGAGCCTGAGCGGCGGCGGCGGTGCACAGCGCTGAAGTAAGTAGTGTTAATAGCTGGAGCGGCGGTACGCAACGCTAAATTAATCGCATAGTTAGGAACACAGCGATCGCTGTGACGCGGCAGTGCCGCGGCCCGTTTTTTTGGACGCGGCGAAATATCCTAGCCCCACGGCAAGTCATTTCCTCTATGTTTCCTGCTGATCATTATTCTTCCAGTGCCCGCGTTCGCTTTAAGGTCAGGTTTGCATTTCCACTTTCTCCCCTTCACTTCACTCTTCACACTGCCAATGTATGTATATAGTCCTCCAATACATTTTAATCTTGCCCAGTTACCTTGAATAAAATCCACGTTTTCAAAAAAAAACTGTGGGAGTTTCGTTTGTCAAGATTGAGTTGAATTGAGCCGTCCCTGGAGTGGAGATTTTTAAGGGCTTGACGTCTTGAAGCACTCGAAACGGCGCATGTACGGTAATTCCATACAAGCAAGCTGTGAATGGAATTCAAGTCAACGCGGATTCACGCAAGTAAAGAGAATGGGTTTTAAAGGCGGCACGCGCCGCTGAATTACTGGAGTAATTTGACACACACAAGGTGAATACAAAGCAGGTCTCAGCAATAAATGGAATGGAATCGAAAGCGGGGAATACATTTGAGTCGGCGGCACGTTCGATGTTGCGGCTAAGTTGAAGGTGATGCTGCGGTACCGCGCGGAATATTTAATACCGGTACCGAGAACGGTGTAAATGCAAAGGTGAACGAATTGAATGATAGGAGGAACTCCCATGCCAACCTTAACCATTCAGGTACATTGAACTTTGTAATTGGTTACGGTTTATGTGACAGCACTAGGTAATCAAACCTCAGGTTCAATTTGAACTGGAATCTGAAAATTAAGGGAGCACCGGGGAACTTTGAATGAACTTTCAAGCAGAGCTCACCAGGACTATATGGGTACTTGAACCCTCGTTAAGGGTGGAAAATTCAAGGTCAGTTCAACACGGAAGAGGAACAAATGGAATGAGACTCACCGAAGGTTCGGAGACAGAATTAACTTGAGCAGTGTTAAGCCCCGAAGCCAAGGCACGAGAGACGTTTAATCGAGTCAAATTGAAAGCTTACATGGCGACAAGTTGAACTTCAAGTTGTGTCTGAGCCCAAAGGCAACATTGACCTCCGCCAACTCAACCAGCTCAAACTCGAACCCATGAACCACGAAACAATTGACTACGCCATAGGATACCTTAACGAAGAAATAAATGTACCTCAAGTCGAAATACAAGGTAAACTAGCAGATGCCCGATCCATCGCCGAGATGCCCGAGCTCGAGTTTTGCTCGAGGAATTAATGGATGTATGGATAGAAAGGGGTACTATGTACGTTGAGAACGTGATAAGGGTCTATGGAGCTTGGGTGAGTGGTGCTTGACTCGGGTACAAGTAGACTTGACTGAATACCGAAGGTAACTTGGATATATTGTTGATATATTGTCGGAGATGCGACGGTCAAGCTTACCTCGAGTCAAACGAGGATGGTTTGGGTCATCTTCAGGTTAAGTGAGGGTGGGGTTGAGGCCGAGTATCATCTGATAAGAATCCACACATGGCTTGGACACAGATGCGCTGCGGAACTCGGTGAGTGTCGGGACATGGACTTTGGTGGCACTTTCTTTATCATAGGAGTGAAAGAGGGTGGGAGTGAGGCAATCCATATCGACTGGAACGACAATCTCCACAAGTTTGCACTCATCTTTACCGCTGGCGATGCATGCGGATTCCGTTGAGGCCTGGCCAGTGCCCCCTCTCCGGATGGCCGATCATGTTCACATGCTTCATCGATAGCACGCTGCTGGAGCACACTTTGTGCGACAAGGATTATACTGTACTCTAAATCTTGCTTGTACGCGCTCTCGAATTCTATTTATTTCGTTGCTCTGGTGGTGTAATCAATGAAAGGTGATATGGTCAACATTTTATTTGATTAGGGGTCAACTTGAGGTGAGAAAAATAATGGTTGATATGTGCAAGCCAGGTGCTCGGGGTCCTGGAGCTCGCCGTGCGTGCGCATCGCTGCGCATCACTGGTTTTGGGATGGCATCAACGGATCAATAAGCATATCGTGATCTGTTGCAATACTCGTTGACGACCAACTTTTCATCGTGCTCCGATGAGGTTGCCTATGCTTTTATTGGCAAACTAGATGAATTCAAAAACACACAACATTACGTGGCTGCATTGCTTGAACGGGGTGTGCGTGTTTTAATTTATGTCGGAACATATGATTGGATATGCAATTGGGTTGGAAATGAGCGCTGGACCTTGGCCATGGAGTGGAGTGGACAGGACGAGTTTTCCCGGCAGCAATTAAAACCGTGGGGCACCGAGGAAACGAATTCACGCATCGGTCTCACGCGCAGCGCGATGGGTTTGACCTTTGCGACTATCGAAGGCGCGGGGCACATGGTAAGTGTCTTGCTCATTAGCTCAAAACATCCGACGAATCACTGTCACCTGATAGGCACCGTACGACAAACCGAAAGAATCTTTGGAACTGGTCAAGCGTTGGTTGGGAGATGGATTCTTTTAAATCCCAGTAAACAGCAGTTCTAGTGTTGCTTAGTATATGGGCCGACATAAACTGGTGAGATTCAACTCCTAGTCGAGCAAGCGCGAGAGTTCTGTATCGATTGAGCAAGGAGTACGCGCCGCGGTATTTGTATGATTTTGAGCGGCGTCGTACATAAATAGTACCGAGGTAGGGTTCGGTGGCAGTACGGAACGGGCCCTTTGCGGTGACAGAGTGAAAGGAAGCATCCTCTTCATGTGCAGCGACGTTGAAAACAGCAGTTTGGTCCTGTTGTCCAGTGACTTCATCGACCACGTGCGTGTCCTAGAACAAAGGCGTGAGTTCGGGCAACTTTCTCTTGACCACAACCGTCTTTCTGTCTGGTCATAATCTTCGTAGCCTTTTTGCCTGGTTTGTGGTCGCAGGTGCAACAACGAACCCTGCGTGCCTGCACAGGCATTGCTGTGCCCTCGACGTGCTACAATCCCAAACCCCGTGGCCTCTGCCGCGTTCCGAACGCTTCAAGGAAGTAGCAATAAGCGGGCTTGCGCTTGAGTGGGTGGGTCGAAGAAACCTGGTCACTGTTGTTGGACTCGACGCGGCCGAGACGTTTGTCGGTAGGCCCGGTCGCACTGCCACCCCACGTAACTCTCTCAACTCTCACTACTCTCAAAACGACGACGCGCCGGAACGCAAGGAGGGACAATGGCATGAGCGGCGACATGACTGAGGAGGGCGCAGGATGGGATCCTGGCTCGGACCGGATTTGTGTCCTACATCTCTTGGTAACTCTTACTTTTTTCGCGACACCTTACACACGGCTTTTTCTCCTCTCGACATCACTATTTCCTTCGATGCATATACGACACTTGGGACTTTTCCTCAAACCTACATTTCTGTCCACAAGCCGACGCTGCGAAGGTAGACCAAAAATCCCCTTTTGGCTCACCAACACCATTGGCCCAAAAAGGAAATTTCGCAGAAACGAATGCCCTGCACCTACTGGTAGCAATGTGGCTCCAACACATTCATGAATGTCAGTCTTTTTTACGGTCTTTGTCCATTTGTACCCTCAATCTCAAGGTTAACCAAGAGCAGATACTTGCCCAAGTAAAAATTCACCTCTCGCTCTCAGGTGGCATCCTGGGGAAATACCTTATGGTTGGATGGCCGAGTGGTCTAAGGCGCTGGAATTAGGAACCTACATCCAGTCCTCCGGGGCGTGGGTTCGAACCCCACTCCAATCATGGTTCTTTTGTTTCTGGACTCTCAGGCCATTTTTTCCGCCAAATTCCTTTCCCCCTTCATTTCTGTCGTCTCCCCAACCTTCCCTTGTTCACATAAAGCGCCGTAGGCACCCTCCTTGCTTCCAAACAAGCCCTGAACAGCACAGAATTCGTTCCAACGCCCTAACCTCCCGTTTCTCCCTTAGTTTCAAGGCTTTGCGTTAGACGCTCCAACGACCAAGTCAAGACCAAGAATTCACTACAAGACATGTATCCGTCTTTCAGGCCAGCCCTCCGCATGCCATAGTATCCATGGGAAGGTGTGGGTTGGAATCCGTTCAAGTGTTCCCTGCTGAAGGACAACATTTTCGGACAATTCCCCCGGCCCGCTATCACACTCGCAAGCGTGAGCTAAGGACAGCCATACGGCTCCCTGGAGCGTCTACGCACTGAAGGGAGCTTGACCACGATGGACGATGGGGTTCGAACCTACGGCCGCCGTTTCTCGCAGCAGGTGCGATGTTTCTGTCTAAGTGAATTCTCTCGTGGGAATACTTGGACCTCAGAATTGACCTTGGGCACCGAATACCGACGTTTGCAGCGGCGTTGAATTTGGAGTCTCCAAACCTGAGACCGAAGCAACTTCAGGGAATGCACTTCCGACCTGGACTGCGCCAAAATCAGGTTAGCTCCATGTCATTTCAGCCAAGGGTAGATCAGGTTATAACCATGAGGGTTGAACATCTTAATAGGATCGACGGACTCGACATTTAAAAGCCGAAGGAGGCTTCGAAACTTATTTGTGAGCAAGACCAGCGTTCCCTGTTGCGATCAGCATACAGCCCATGAATGCATTAATTTGTCCTACTATACACTTAATCCTATGGATACACCAGAGATGTTAGAACCAAGACCGAACAATCTAATGCCAACCAAGTCTCTGCTTCGCCGCCTCCAGCTTCTGCTTCGCCTCGGTCTTTGTAAGGCCCTGCGAGAGTTCGACAGCTTGCGTGAATGCCTTGACGCACTCCTCATCCTTTCCTTGAGCCTGTAGCGCTTCCCCGAGTCTGGCGAAGCCCTTGCCCCATTTCGGTTCAACCTCTGTCGCCTTCTGGGCATCGGCGAGGGCAAGGTCAAGGTCGGGCGGCGTAGATTTAAGGTACGCAATGGAACGGTTGCCATAGAGCGCAGCGGAGTTCGGCGCTAACGTGATCGCGTCCGTATATTTTTCAATAGCTTCTGGGTATTTTCCGTCCTTATAAAACGCCTGACGGAATAATAAATAAGTATGTGCCAAGGACGCCATAGAACAGGTCTTACATTTCCGGCCACCTTCGCCGCCTCTGCGTCGGCGGGAAGTGGGGCAACAGGAGGATTGGGGCCGCCATACTGAGACACGAGGCGGCCGAGACCTTGAGGGTCAGCTCCGCGTACCTGATGGTATTTCAGGTTGAGCCAAGGCGTACCAGACGACGTGAAGTTTGAACCTACCGTATCGACCACCGAGCCAGACTTGATCGCTAGAAACGTCGGCATGGCGGTAATTTGGTATTTCGCCGCAATGGCCTTTTGCTTGTCCACATCGACACGCAAAAATCGTACATGGGGATTTTGGGAGGCCAGCTGGGTGTATCTCGGAGCGATGGCCTGGCTAGATAAGGCTCGGGTACTCGGTAGACTGAACAAGTAGTTACCTTGCACGGTCCACACCATACTGCAAGTCTTATGAGTATCTAGAAAGAACATTCTAGAAAGTCCTTTACCTGCATGGAAGTCAACCAGCACCGTCATCCCAGCGGCAGTCGATTCCCGCAACGTCTCATTCCATTGCTTTACGCTCTGCACTTCAACTGGGGAGTTTTTATCCATTGAGAGAGGTTGGGGAGTAGGAGGTACACAGAAACCCGAGGTGGGACATTTTAAGGCGCGATGAATGACCAAGCTCAATTCCGAGGTCACGTTTGCGCTTACTGAATCCAGCTGAGTCGGTGAAGGGTTGATAGTAATTACATTCCGTGGTCTAAAGTATGTATGCGAGCAATATTGTTACAATGAGCGAGAGATGGTACAATTCGAACCGGCGCAGGCAATCGACCTACGCCTCCTTCTCCTTGTCATCCTCGTCGCGTTCGTCCTTCTTCTTCCACTGCTCATAAACAAAGGCGCATGTGCGGCTCGCGAGAGTAAGTGGTTCGCCGGTGAGGGCCTTGTCCCAAACTCGGAGCCCAAATTTCTGGTAATTGCCCGCGGTAAAGTTCTCGTGGAAGAGTTGTAAAGAGTGTTGGGCGGGGGCAAGGACCTGATAGATTGGATCCAACAAAGGGCCAGGATCCAGCGGGAGCTGGACCAAGAGGGATTCTGGTCTGGGAAAACAATAAATACGCGGTCAAGGAGCGCAAAATTGGCAAACGCACGATGCGTCTGGCCCGAAATTAACAGGGATGATCGGGCCTAGCCATTTGTTCTCCAGTGTTGGAGGCTGGCCCGTCCGGCGAAAGTCTTGGTATTCCAGCCATAGCTTTCGCTTGGCCTGTCTCTGCGCATCCAGCACGGCCTGATGCTGAAGGTTGTGCTGCATCTGAGAGATACTGGAGTACACGCCCAGGAAGCTGTTGGTCTTCCAGAAATACCACCCTTCGTCCCAGTACTTGATGTCGCCGGGCGACTTTCGACCATGTTCAGGGTCATCCGTCGGCTTCCCACCCAGGTATCGGGGCAAATTTATGGGCTGGCCCTCTCGAGGGAGTGGGTATCGCGCCTTTCCGTCCGGGCCGACCTCTTTGTGACTCTTGAATTGGATGATATTCCGCACTTCGTGAGAGAAGACCTTGCGCAGGCACACGGATCGACAAAACGGATGTTGTTGGTTGATACGCCCGCTAACGTTTTGCGAGCAGTACGTTAGACACCATTGGTCATTCCGGGTTGAGTGGATTCCTAGTGTATATGGTCGATATCGTATGGATATACTACCGAGCGGAAACGTACCCTTCGGAGGCTCAATGACCTTGATCGTGGGGAGGCCGGAGAATATGACCTGGAAGACAAGTCAGCCCATGCAATTCAGCGCAATGAAATGTGCTCGCCATCCTCTGGGGCTGCTGAGTCTGGGTTCGTGTCTGACCCGACATGGACGCGTCTACTTCGTGTGTTGTTTGCCAAGCCGCGCATCAGAGAACAGAGCCAAAGCGATCAGATCATTGTATACATAAGCTGCCAAACTTTTTCTTCAGTTTTGTTTCTTACCTCGCGCCGTCTGAAGAATCGTTGTCGCAGCTCCCGCACAGAGAGTTTTCCTCTCGCCCTTTGCTGTGGGGAAAGTCCCCGGAGACACGGAGCATGTCCTCGACCCCTAATGGAAAGCAACCGGCCCCAAGCACGTCGGTACAGTCGAGGACGGCGGGATAGTTCTGCACGGTGCCAATGGCAGGCCCTGCTCCGTCCCTGCCACTCCGTTGCCCCTCGGCGAGTGGGCTGCTCGGTGAAGGCCCAGGCTGCGAAGATATGAGCATCCTGTTGCTCGGGTGGTTTGCTCAACATTGGGCAAATTGTTGCTCATAGACATAGTTATGCGATTGTTGACCCTTCATGGGTCCTCAACTCAATGGGGCTCACTCTCATTCGGCGCGATCCCCAATTTTTTCCTTCTATGAACTTTAATGTTCTTCGTCCATTGGATGCGCTCAATTCTTGGGTCTTGAAGGTGAGCCTCTTGTCCTTTTTTATTCTCTCTTCCCTATGATGCGTTGGATCTTTTTTGAATTTCTTCATGGTGAATACCCTCGTGGGGCGTGCTCCAAACCTTTGACACTTCTGACGGGGATACTTTTTTTCTTCTGGTTGCTGCTTTGCCTTTAATTCAAGCTGACCAAATTTTACAGGAGTTTGTCATGACATGTGTCGTATTACTGAAGATTATAGCACTTATCCATCACACGTCCGCTGTTCCCCTCCCACTGATAGCGGTTCTATCTATTTACCCTTTCTGTAGACCAATCCTACTGAGACCGAGGGTCACCGAGCACCGCTACGTCGCTCAAAATATAACTGGGCTTTTAGCTGCCTTAGATGCGCTCCACCTGAAACCTTGCGCAGCGACGCTTCATATCGTTCGAGGTAAAACGGGCGTGCGCAAAGACTAGTAAAAGTCATGCCGTCTCATTAGCGGGCGAGAGCATTATGCATTGTCTTCGGGGGAAAAACATCGAGTTGAGTGAGCAAGGTTACAGTCCTCAAACGGGACGCGAACGTCATCACGGAAACCGGGCCGTCGGACAAGCATGGCCTCGATCGGCTCAGATTGGGGAGTGAGCATCTCCTGAGAAATTGGCTGCAAAGGACAGTGACAACACATATGCGCCCACGATTTATTGAGAGATCTTTGAACCTTTGCAGGTTTCAGTCGAAATAGTGCTCACAGGGTGCGCATCCACCCAGCGTGCTGGGGTTGTTTCAGCCTTGGGCCAATATAATTCAATGGCCCTTTGCACTGCCAACGTAATGATGTTGTCAGTGTTTCGCTACATCGACCAATTTGGCCCCCCGGAGAACCGCTCCTTGCTCCCGATTTGGGACGAAATCCGATTCTTTGAACTAATACGCTATCCACGGGTCGATGTAGACAATAGCGTGGCAATTTGCACCATATGTGCCACATTGCCGGACAAAACGTTCGTTCGCTGTTTGGACATTTTAGCCTGACGAAAGCACCCATGAGCCTTTAATTAGATGAGAGGAAAGACTCAAGCGCAATACTCACATGATATTTTAGCCGTCAACGCGTGCGCTTCACGGCTTGAGATTCGTAGGCCTTGCGGTTAATTGCTGACTAATGCCAGCGAATTCCATCACAGCCTCCGTGTGAGCTCAAGTCCTTCATTCACTGGCCACTGGCAAATCAGGGTGGTATAAATCCCAGTCATACTGTAAAAGGATGAGAGGCTGGCGAAGCGATCTCAGACCCAAGAACCAGGTGTGATTGAACGTAAGGAAGGCTTGCTGAACCTCGTCTATGCGCGGCG